CCAGAGGTCTTGTTCTTTTTTGCTTGCTTCTGCATGCTCAACAATATGTTGTAGTCAACAGCGTCATCTGTAAGGACAACCTATAAGAAGATATTACCTGAGAGTGTGGAAGGTTGAAGTTGAATTGCTGCTTGCTTGGCAGCTCCATCTGCATTGTGGTTTCCTCTTGTAAATTCATCTGTGATCTTCACGTGCGCTGCCACCTTGATGATGCCTACGTGAGCAGGTAGCAGGATAGCATCCATTATGGTACTCACGTCTTCAGAGTTCTTGATTGGAGTTCCTGCTGAGGTGAGAAAATCACGAGCCTGCCATATAGGAAGGCATAGCAAGAGTCTGTGTATATATTAGCTGTCTTACCAGTGGCCAGTTTGCATGCTTCAGTAAGTGACTTCAGCTCAGCCTCCTGTGCAGAGCAGTGAGGGGAGAGTGGTTCAGCTTTAGTTACCTTGTGTGCAGAGACTACAGCATATCCAGTGTGGAAATTACCCTTCTCATCATCATTTTTTGAACATCTACAAAAAACACAAAGTCTGTATTAGACAATGGAGAATCAGTTGCATGCCTTTGTGACCAAATGAAGCATGGCTTTTCTGCCCAAAACCAGGTCCACAGAGTCTTCTATCCTGGAGATAATTGGGAAGAAATCACAATCTAGGGCCAGGGATCTTATCCTTCTTTGGAGCCATATTTTAGAAAAGATATAAAATAATGAAAAAAATCCCCGTCCCTGGATTTTACAGCTCTTTGTTCCCTTCGCCTGTTTGTTCAGTGAAATACATCCACTACGTATGTTAACGTTGCTCCGTTCGAATACCAAATAATCTATGGCACAACCGACCACCCATGTGCGGAGTGTGCCGTCTGTTGACCCCATTAACCTAACACCTCTGTAACCGCAAGCACCTTAACATCCTAAGTGGTTGGCTGGGTGGTCGTCGTTCGTATAGGCGAACACAGACAGCAGTGTTTGGTCATCAAGTGTATGGAACTAAAATCGGACTCTCAATGGCGCGAACACTGCTAAGACTTCCATACCCAAATATGTTCAGCATTATTTACACAAACGAAGCGGCACTCAGTAGAAACATCACTCGAACCAGAGATACTCTGGGAACATATTCACAAACTGTTATCTGACTGCACAACCTGATTTCATGGAACTATTTCGGGCAAGCGTCTCGTGTGCGGTCGGTCTAAACTATACCCCGGTGGTGTTTCGGCTGCGTTCATGGGATCTGAGCGATTTCAGGAAATGTTAGGTGCTCAGACCCAGGCTATCCAGGGATAAAGTACTTGAAGGGATATCTCATTGTTAACTATATATTTTGATGTATTTTTCTTATGCTTGTCCTGGACATGAGAGGTAATGTAATTATGTGTGTGCTTATGTTGCTGCCCCCTCTCAGCTCCAGTGGGGAATGCCCCCAGAATGTGTCACCAGAAACCCCTTGCATGGGGACTTGCAAAAAAGGCCAGCTGTGGCTCCCATTTAAGCAGTTCCAGTTTTACCCTCAACACAGAGCCTCGTCTTGTGTATGTAGAGAACAGCGATAACAGCTATTTCACTACATTTTAGGATTCTCGCTCTACTCTCATTGGGGGAAAAGGACATGTCTGGCGGCGAAACCCCTCTTCCCACCGGGGTGTCCGCCACAATTTTCTTTTTCCTTTATTTAATTATGTTTAGTAGATGTTTCTTATATATCTTTTTTATCAATTCTTTCGGCTTATCTGCCCCACTTTCTCTACTTGTAAGTTCTATTTTGCCTGTAGAATCAGTTACCTTTGTATACCTTTATATTCCTTAAATTAATTTTATATGGACAGTATCTTTTACTCAGACCTTTAAAGAACCCAGTGCCTGGACTTTACTTCTATAAGAAATTTCCTTCCCTTACCCTTTCCTTTCCCTTTACAAGATACTGTAGCTCTTTTACTCAGGTACAAAAAACAAAAAAAGGTAGAAATGAGGAATGGAAAAAAGGGATACAGAAAAAGTATTCCAATGCATTGTTAGCTATATAAAGGAAAAAGATCTATTTTCCATTCCACAATTTTGCTCCTAATGAAGCTACTCACGGCCCTTTTGGGAGAATTGTTGCTTCACTTTTAAAGCTGTCAAGTTTGCCATCTGCAAACTTCAATAATTGGGGGAGAGAAGGGGTCCAGGGACTCAGCTTGTTCCGAGGGACCAGAGAGCATTCATACCCGGAGTTTTACCATGAGGCAATTCCACGCAGAGCATGAGGAACCGCAACTACCACCATACATTCGTCAGCCACTCCCATTGCAGCGTGAGCGTGCGCACCTCACATCATCATGCCCCGATTGTACTTGTGAAACATTTTGAATTAACTTACGGGGGGCTTTAATCAGAGTTACTCATTAAACTCAAAATCTGTCAAGGCAAAAGTTGAAAAAAACAACAAACCATGCAACGTGATCAGCTACAATAGTAAAACCACTGACATGGGAAGTGAATGGTGTCTGTCAAGGGGTGGGATATATAAGGCAGCAAGGGAACAGTCAGTTCTTCATCTAAGCAGGAAAAATGGGCAAGAGAAAAGGTCTGAGTGACTTTGACAAGGGCAGCTCCAAAATGGCAAGTAGGTATGTAGTGATTAATATCTACCAAAAGTGGTGCAAGGAAGGACAACCATTGAACTGGCATCAGGGTGATGGGCATCTAATTCTCATTGATGTACATGGGGAGTGAAGGCTAGCCTGCCTGGTCTCATCACACAGAAGAGCTACTGTAGCAGCTAAAATTGCTAAAAACCTTAAAGCTGGCCGTGATAGAAGGGTTTCAGAACACAGAACATGGCTGTTTGCTGTGTATGGTGCTGCGTAGCCCAGATCGGTGAGTGTCTGCGTCAATGGGAATGTGAGTGTCAGAACTCGACGATGAAGCAATTCAAGAAGGTTTCCTGGTTTGAAGAATCTCATTTTTCATTTAGAACAGGAAGATAGCCAGGTCTGCATTATCTGACTGGGGAATAGACAGCAGCAGGATGCACTATTGGAAGAAGGCAGGCCAGTGGAGGCAGTTGTGAGGATATTTATGGGGTAATAAATATTAAAATAATAATTTTATGAAAATTATCAAAAATTAATTTAATAATTGTTATTAATATAAAAAAATAAATTTTTTGGCACTGTTCCCCTTGATCAATTTAAAGCAAAGAGTTAACCACTATTTTAACTCTTATAGACCCTGGAGTACATTTGTTAGAGTATTTATAATAAACACATTAATCACAACCGATTATAAAAGTATAATTAATTGCGACAAATAATTAATAATAATAAAAATAATTTTTTGACGAAGTGCCCTTCGCCACTTGGTCCTGGAGAGGCCTACTTGGCAGCCTCCTCCCCTGTGACTATGACTCTTTCATGTATCTGGCTTTAAAGCCCCTATTCTACCTTCAGACAGACTATTTATGTAGGCTGCTTTATTTATCTTATGTTTTAGTCACCCTGTACCCATTATAGGTGCAGGGTGTGTGTAATGTAATTGTTTATAGTGTGTGTGTGTACTGTGAAATGTATTGCCTGCTCTCCTGTGCTGCTGAGGTTTGCTACTGTAGTAGATAATTTACTGCAAACCAATTAGTTTGAATGACTATCTGTTCCTGTCCAAATTAAAGATAATAAAGTTGCGTGCACGCAGAAGTAAATTCACACTGAGACACAGAGTTCAGGTTAATGAAAGAACTTCGGAGAAGTTTAATGGCTTCTACCAGATAATGGGTGTGCAGACCCTTATAAAGGCATTTTTACATCACTGAAGAATTCAAGATAACAGCAAATAGACACTATTGATTGGTCCAGGTGTTAAGTGGTTAGTTAGGTACCCTCCTATCAAGAGGTGATGTCATCCTTGACACGGGAGTGGACACAAGATGTAGGCGCCATCTTGTTAGCACGAGGTGTTCACTCGATGGGAGGGGTGCTTTGGCAGCCATTTTGAGTAGTTAGTATTGTTAGCTTCAAGGTTCTTTTAGTAAATACACATTTTATCAAAGCTATTTCTTGCTGACATGCAAATTCTATGTTCTATAGACAAAGCTTTCTTGTAAAACTATGGGGGCCTCTTAGAGGTATAGCAAGAGGATTTAAAGGGGCCTTACAGATTTATAGAGGCCTAATAATTCTACAACAGTCCCCCCTAAAATGTTATTTGCTAAAAGACAAAACTTTATTTGTTAGTATCAGAAGAAGTATTAGCCCAAAGACACAGAAACCCCATGACCGCTGACTTAGTGTTAATGCAAAGTGCAAGTCTATCCCTCTCTTGACCCTAACAGGCTGCAGCACATCCGTCAGTACGGTTCAGGAACACTCTTCACTCTGCTGGTAACCCATAGTGGCTTATCCACTACTTCTCCGTACGGCAGTCTACCCATAAAGACGGACGCTGTCCCTGTACTGTCCCTTCCTAGACTTTCTGCACTTCATCAGTATAAGGGAGAGTTTATAGCGGAATACAGGGTGAGGTGAGATCTTGATCATCGATTGTCAGATGAGTGAAGGTTGGTGTTGCTTGGTCTACAGTTTTCTGCAGGAATTTCCTTAGGCATGGGAGGACACAACAAATGAGAAGAGCGAGAATAAAAAGAAAAATTAGTAAGGCAATACCAATATGGACTAAAGCTTTCTGCCAACTTGACATCCAACCAAACCACCTTTCCCAGGGATCTGTAACTCCAGAGTTTCTCTTTAACTCTTCTGAGAGTCTATTTAATTTAGCTATGGCCAGAGTGACTTTACCATTTGTTTTCTGGGATATAAGTGCAAAAAGTCATGGTGTCAGGTAGTATTTTACATACACCCCCCTTTTCAGCTAGAATCATGTCTAAGGCCATTCTGTTCTGGAAGGTCATCTGGGATGTGGCCTGCAACTGCTCGGCCAGGCCCTGGAGGGCATCCCTGGTGTAGTTGACAAAACGCTGTTGGTTGTAATAAATGTAGTTAATCCAATTAAGGTTTTTGTTGGCAGTGACTATGGTAAAAAGTGATTCAAAACCTACAGCTACTTCATCTCTAGCTTTAAATTCATTAGGCACCCCCCTAGGTACCCCAATGGCATCTATGTAAATGTGGGGGTCAAAACTGCCTTTTACTGGGGTTTCGCGCCTTACTCTGGCTGATGTATGTGGAGGGTCGTATGTGTCATGATGATTATCAGAAATAATATGAATGGGCATGATAACTTTGGCTAGGGTACACTCACCCCACCACTCAGTTTCCAGCCTAGATCTTAACTGTAGATCCCCACATAACCAGTAAATATCCCCCAATGACCTGGTATGGTGTTGCAACAGGCGTATAGGAACAGTTCTGTAAGTGGCGCAATAACCTTTAGAAAAATTACCCATGAATTTACCAATCCTGTCATACATGGCATAACAAGTGTAATTACCTCTATAGACTGTGATTCCATCTGGTGGCTTAACATTTTCAACTAAGAGAGGGTATTCTGCCGTCCATGCCATGCAGAGGGACCTATTAAAGTCATATTGGTAGGCAAAAAATCTTAAGAAGCAATCTTCTATCTCTAAAGGGAGAGTGAGGGGGACGGTGCCAAGGTGGGGTCGGGCACCGCCACATACATAACATGCTGTTCTATTATGTTTGTTGGCATTATACCTCATCCATTCTAACCACAAATTAATGTCATTGAATCCAGTTTCAGCGGCCATGGTATCTTCAAAAGTGGGGTTAGCGATGGCCATCATATCTTTAAAGGACTGGATATGTGGTTTTAGCGGATTTGGGACCATATGATCAGCCCCTTGCCACTCTGGAGAGTGGTACATATCTCTGAGGTAGAAATGACCTAATTTGTTGTAGGAACCTTTCTTCCAATACATTCCCATTACATATCGGTCTGTATCCTCTGGGCCAGGATGTTCAATATTTAACATTAATTTCATAGGGGTACTTCCTCCAGGCTTTCTTAAAGTCATTCTTTGAAGGAGGGATCTACCCTGATTGTCTATCTTAGATAAAGCACTTTTGGGTTTATAACCCCAGGCAGGCCCAGTATTCCATCCCGCAGCCCCCCAGTAGTTACAGTCATAACCCCATTGTTCATCTACTACACAAGCGTAAGGGTCTTTTGCTTGTGGTATATCTTTATAAATGGCTTGAATCTGTGACTTAGGGAATGGGCATTCTACAATATCACAGTAATCAAAAGTGAATGTAGCCACATGGGTACATGATGAATTATACCAGAAAGTGTACCCACTAGCATCTTTGGTGATGGCCACCTGCTGGGCTTTAAGGAGGCCAACTAAGGAGATAATGTACCAGAGGCACATGGTTGCATAGAGTTAGCTTCCTCTGGGGCAGGTGTCTTCTTGCAATGGGAAGCGTGGATCCAGTTAGGCCTTCCGGCCAATTTGACAGAGGTAGGGGAGATCAGGAGAACTTGGAGCGGTCCGTCAAATCTTGGTTCCAGGGTGTGTTTTCGCACAAATTTCTTGACCAGAACCCAGTCACCGGGGAGCAGACTGTGGTTGCCTGTGTCAGAATCAGGATCTGGAATTGAAGAGAAAACTTGGGCATGGATTTTGTTCAAAGCACTGGCAAGTTCAGTTACATAGTTTACTAAAACATCAGTATGAAGTTGTAATTGCTGGGGAAAATAGCAACCTAGCCTAGGTGCAGTCCCAAATAGAATCTCATATGGGGACAGTGAGGTAGTATTTTTGTACAAGAGCATTCATTAGATCCTTTGATAAATGTGCAGGTCCGTGTGCCCATTGTACGACTGCTGGGTACAAATTCTTATGGAGGCAGAACTTGAGGTTGTTGGAGTACACTCCATCCTTCAGAACTGCCCCTTTCTGTTTCCATTTTTGTATTTCTTCAGGAGCAACTGCAGCCTGTTGTTCCCGTAGGATTTTTAGATCAGTTGGAAGTGTCTGCAAGGTAAATGTGGGAGTTTCTTCGTTTCCGTCCACACTTCTGTCCACTTCCTGTAGTTCTCTTGCAGCTTGTTTTGCAACTTGATCAGCCAGATGGTTGCCCCTTGGTTTATTCGAATCCAACTTCCCATGTGCCTTTACCTTCAGAATGGCCACTTCTTCTGGGAGTAGGAGGGCATCCATCAGCTCCTTGATTGCAGAACTGTGCTTGACTGGTGTACCGGCAGTGGTAAGAAATCCTCTTGTTTTCCAAATTAATCCGAAGTCATGAGCCACGTCCAGTGCATATCTTGAATCTGTGTAGATATTGGCGCGCTTTCCTTCAGAGATCTTGCATGCTGAAGTCAGGGCTTGCAATTCAGCTTCTTGTGCAGACATTGTTGATGGTAAAGATGATGATTTGACAATTTCATCTGTTGTGGTTACGGCATATCCTGTATGGTATCTTCCTTCTTCATCAGCATATCTTGAGCCGTCCACAAACAGGGTGAGATCGGGATCTACCAATGGGTCTTCATGCACAGTTGGTAGATGTGTTGTTTCCATTTTCATCTGTTCAAAACAGTCATGAGGTGTATTTGGGTCGTAGTCATTCACTATGGTTAAATCTTGGAACTCATTTTCCAGGAAATGACGTGGCCATGCTTTTAGGTGGTCAGTTGTTGGATATTTGACAACACCATTTTCCTGTAGCTGTGATTCGTCCATAGTGGCCCATGCTTTTGCCATAGGCCCAAGATCATTCCATGATATTGTTTTCAACTTGGTCACAGGGACATGTGGAATGGCAGTGTCCCAATGACGGTACAAATACTTGAGTTCCGGAGGTAGATGAATCAAGACCATACTGTTGCCTTCAGAATCACAGTAGAAGTCTTGTGCAGTGAGTTTTACTTCGACCAGATGATAGAGTTCATCTTCATAGCAGGGTTCAGGAGTGATGTTTGGTTTGTACCACATGGTACAGAAGGCATATCCTGCTCCGTCATGAAGGAGTGCTTGTCCATCATGAAAGGATAGGTTGGGATGCATTTCCTTCTTGATGGTGCCAGTGAGCAGAAAAACATAAGTTTCGTCCATGATGAATCCGTAGTATACACCCCCCTCAGGGAGTGGCAGAAGAGTGGACGGATTGAGAACTTGACATCTTTGAAGGGCAATGTTGTCAGGCAACAAAAGATGACATTGAAGGCGAAGATGCCTAGCAGGAGTAACATGCTTAAGTTGGACCTGGTTGACTATGGCAGAAATGTCATGAGGGGCCAAGACAACCAGGGGGTGGCCAAGGACAAGATCTCCAGTTCTTTCAATGAGCTCTTTGGCAGCAAAGACGGCCCGAAGGCAAGTGGGACGTCCTCTGGCCACAATATCCAGTTGGCAGGAGAAAAATCCAATAGGCCTTTGGCGGCCTCCAGGACCATGGGCCTGAGTGAGTACTCCTGTTGCATGGCCTTGTCTTTCAGAAACAAACAATTTGAAGGGTTTGGTATAGTCTGGTAGGCCAAGAGCAGGAGCAGAGGCAATAGCACGTTGGAGAGTGTAGAAGTTGTCATGTGCTTCTGAGGACAGACAGAACGGGTCTGATTTAAGAGCATCGTACAAAGGTTGCATGAGTAGAGAGGCCTCTGGGATCCACGCTCGGCAGTAAGAAATGAGGCCTAGAAAGGCGTGGAGGGATTTAGGAGTTTTTGGAGGCGGAATGGCCAGAACCACTCCAACACGATCACGGGTGAGGTGTCTGGTGCCATGGGACAGGCAATGGCCTAGAAAGATTACTGTGGCCAGGCAAAATTGAAGTTTGGCAAGAGATGCCTTACACCCCTGATCTGCAAGATAACAAAGGAGGTCCAGAGAACATTTTCCTGTCGTGGGGATGTCATCTCCAAGTAAAATGGGAAGGGAACAAAGAACTGTAGTGTCTTTTCGTGACAAAGGTGTATTTAATTGAACCTGGCCGTCTGCAGTGAGGGTGATGGATGCTTGGAGGCGGGATAGGACATCAGCACCCAAGAGGTTAATGGGACATGGACAGGTTACTGCGGGAAATACCATCAACACCAACACAAGAGACATCGGTGTCAGACAGGAACGATGAGTCAGGCAGGTCTTGTTCTCTAAGAACACTGCGAGCTGCACCTGTGTCAACCAGGAAAGTAGTAGGGTGACCTTCAATAGGTAAAGTTACAGTGGCTAGTGGCCCCCCTTGTTCCCTGTAGACACTGCCATGGCAGGGGCATTAAGCATCAGTGGGTTCTATCATTATAAATAATGGTTAATAGTAAGTGAAGTAAAGTTCCTAAATGTCTTTGGATAAAACATTAACTATTGCGGTACTATCATTTATATTAATTAGGCCATAACAATTATACCACCCTGTAACTAAAATTAATAACCAGAAGTGGCTGGGTTAATAAAACATGTCACTAATCCTTCTAATGCTAAACCATCATTTAACATAAAGGATGTTACTGTAAACCTACGATCTGTAACTAGCAAGATTCGATTAAGCAAAGATACAATGTTTAAAATAATTTGCATTATTTGGCTATTTCCCTTGTTGCAAGATTAATCTGGATAATCAGCTGTTATGCTCTTATATTCGTGTCCAACAGATCTCATTTGTAGGTCACACCACAGTTGCAAATGACATTTTAGCAACCTTCTTTTTTTTTTTTTTTATATTATTGTGACGAGACCAACCTCGCCACTGTGCACTGGAGAAGCCTGGTTGCCAGCCTCCTGCCATCTGACTATGGCCCCCTTTTAAAAGACTTTATTTTTGCCTGCAGAAAAGCTGTATTCGTGCTTTTCTGCCTGGGGTTCGGTAGATGTGTTTGAATGTGTTATACCCCAGATAGGAATCCCATGGAGCCCATTTGTATGAAACTGACTGTAAAGACTTTGGCTCCATGGCGATTAAACTGTATTCGTGTGGTCTGAGCGCCATTCACTTAATAATGTGCGCTCAGACCTGAGCTATCTGGGGATATGTGAAATGTCTGTGTTTTATGTATAAAATGTGACTTTATGTATTTTAAAGTGTTTTGTGTCTTTTTGCAACCATGTGCTTAATGGAGTCTTGTGTCTGTCCTGGGAGATAATTGAATTACTCTCCAGGATAGAAGACTCTGAAACTGGTTTGGGCCAGAAAGCCATGCTTCATTTAGTCACAAAGGACTTTTTACTAACTTTTGAACCCCTTGTCTGATTTGTGCCATTTTTGAATATGTTGTTCCCCTGAATGGATTGATTGAGAATATGTAATTTTATGTGAATGTGATGTATGGTTTTAGAGTTATGAAAGTTGGGTAGAAAGTATGTTTTAACTGT